TGGCTGCTGCTCGGAGTCTGAGCTGCGCCAGCTGCAGCGTCAGCCCCACCCCTTGGGCCCCTTCCCTCGCCGCGCCGCGCCCCGCCTCACGCAGCCAATCCTCGCCCAAGCTGCCCTCCTGACAGGCGGCTCTTCTGGCCAATAGGATCTTGCCTGCCCACCTCAAATCCCGCCCTGCCCCCACCCTCTGTCCGGGGTCCTTTCCCTACACTTGAAGGGAGAAATGGGAAGGAGGTGGCCCCGACGTTAGAGGGGCCTCCCTGGGGTGAAAGCTGGGGAAGGGGAGCGGCTGCGCCTGTCTCTTCCTTCAGGTCCTAGGGCCCTAGGGTCAGCTTGTTTTGATGCACTTAGTCGCGGTAGCAGAGAAGCCGGGGAACAGCCTTCCCTCCGCCTTCCATCTCCCCATCCCCCGCCCTCTGAATACGTGTAGGGGCAGCGTGGGCAGTGAGTGCCCTCATCCGCACGCGCGGGTCCCAGCTGGGTCGCGCTGCGCTGCTCCAATCTGGCCGTCGGGTTGGTTTCCTCTTCACCGCCCTCCACCCACTCCTCTTCCCCAGGCCACTACGGACAGCTGCCTGCCGGAGGCACATTCTTGCTCTGTGAGGGGGGTGTTAGCGGGCCAGGCCTTCCTGCAGGTCACAACCTGACTCCTTGGGGGTCCCTATTTGCGGGGGGGGGGGGAGCAAGACCCTCGGATAACTCCCGGAGGCCTCTGTTTGTCAGCCTGATTCTCTGCAGCTGAGCCCATGGGGCAGCTCCTGGTCCCTGGCAGCTCCTAGTCCCTGGCAGCTCCTCTTGGTTGATTGTCCCCACCGACACACACTGTTCTAACACTTGGGCGGATAATGAATGATTGGTCGCTGGGAAAACGCTGGAAATGGGATCGGTTGGTCTCCCCAGGCTTGGACAATGGACAGGGCCTCCTGTGTGGAGGGAGGCCCGAGGCGGTTGGCCAGACCTCCAGCGCAGCCCTGGGTCCAGGCTGAGGTGGGTTTTCATCATTACATGCTTCCTGCCGCTCAGGTGCCAGCTGTCCCCACTCCAGCTGCAAGCTGTTAGGCTGAGTCTTGCCCACTTCTCCTTGGGTCTGGCTGTTCCCAAAGAGCCCACAAGCGCTTTGTCCTAGGCTTTGGACTCCCTAGGCCTTACCTGCAGTTCTGAGCCCAGCTGGTTCTGGGCCTGTTTTCTATCTGTCATTGAGGACTGTGTCCACCTTTCTCAGGGGTCTGCTCTCTGTGGCTTCCTCAAAACAGGAGTCTTCTGGCTTTTTAAGGGGACCTTAGGGGTGAGTATGGATTTGATGGGGAGAGAAGCCCCTGCCTATAGATTCAGTACAATCCCCAGAATTGCCCCTGGAGTTACCTCCATCCACCGCTGTCAGAGTCAGTTTGTGTATGTGTGTGTGTGTGTGTGTGTATGTGTGTGTGTGTGTGTGTGTGTGTGTGTGACTGTGTCCACCTTTCTCAGGGGTCTGCTCTCTGTGGCTTCCTCAAAACAGGAGTCTTCTGGCTTTTTAAGGGGACCTTAGGGGTGAGTATGGATTTGATGGGGAGAGAAGCCCCTGCCTATAGATTCAGTACAATCCCCAGAATTGCCCCTGGAGTTACCTCCATCCACCGCTGTCAGAGTCAGTTTGTGTATGTGTGTGTGTGTGTGTGTGTGCGCGTGCGCGCGCGCGCGCGCGCATGTGATTCCAGACAAGCTATTCCAGAATCCCCTTGGGCTGCAGCGCCAGCCACCAGAAGCACCAACATTTCTCAGCAGTCCCACTGTTCCCACTCACTCACACTGTCCTGGGGGCCTGCGGTCTGGCTGTCTTGGTTCCACACCTCTTTGCCCCCCATACACATGCAGACCTGTACCTCCTCCCTGACTCATCGCGCAACGTGCACTTTCTCAACAGGGTCGCTCTTGCTTGCTTTATCCTCTTGCAGACCAAGCTGACCTGCCCAACCTCTCATTCTCCCCCTAGTTGCAGAAAAAAGTTCCCTCTTTTCAGCTCCAGTAATTGGCTCCACTTCTTCCTACAAGGTCTTCTGAGTCAGGCTTTGTCTAATACCCAAGGAACAGTTGGTTCACCAGTAGTTGAGGACAGGCCCCACAGAGACTGAGTTGCGCTGGCGGAAACCCTGGGCACATGGATCTGAATGGCACGTGGGTCCTCCCAGCTCTGCTCCTGGGAGTCCCTCATTGACGTAGGGCTTATTGTTGGTGTCATTTAGGACAAGATCTTCTATGCAGCACCCACAATATCACCACCATGGTACCCCCAGTCCAGGCCCAGCTGTGACCTCCTGCTTTCCTCTTGGTCAGAATCAGAATTTCCCCCTCTGCTTTAGGGACCCCAAACCAGGTGCCTCAGAGGATATCACTCCCCTTCTCACTCTTCACCTTGCCCTGCCTCGGACCTTCTTTCTGGCTCACATGCTCCCCTCCCTCCTGCATCTCTGAGCTCCTACCATTGGACCAGAACCCTCCCTCAGACCACCACCCTGCCTTCTGTCAAGCTCTTGAAATGTCACCTCCTTCAAAAAGCCTTTCTGGAATGTTCGGAAGGAACCTATTGCTCTTTCTGACAACAGCCTTTCTGCCTCTTCCCATCAGCAGTAGCTGCTGCATAACAACTTGGTTAAGGGCTGGGCTCTGGGCCCCCAGCCTAAGATGTGCAAGATGGATATGGATGTAAATTTAAAGGGCAAGCAGACAAATTAATCAAACAGATCTATAAAGAGTGACATCATTACTGTTATATATAAGCCAGAGGCATTAAAGGATGAGCAAGGAGGTTGTTATGTTTCTACAGCGTGGAGTCTAAGGGGGATAAATGTACTGAAACCAGAAAGGCTTTGCAGAGGAGGTGGGCTTCATGGAAGGGTAGTGACTTCCCCCTACATCTGCAAGTGTACTCTTCTGGTTGGGTTATGTAGGCTCTATATTCTGTAATTCATTTATTTATATCAGTATCTGTACGTTGCTTTTTGACTGTCCACTTCCCATCTCTTCTTCTGGCACAGTGCTGCCTGTATCAGACTCTCTTAGATGGGAAACTTCCTGAGCCCAGGCTCCTGGTCTATCTCCAACACTCTGTAGGTTACCTAGGACAGTGTCTGTCCAGATATCTGCTTATTCCTGAAGGCTCTTTAAGACGAGGACTGGAGGGTCTAGACCAAGGTAGGATCGTGGCCTTGTTGACAAGGATCACCGATTTCACCTTAGATGAACTGCACACTCACTCACCTGGGCAGGTGAGTCCCATCTTTAAGAGTACATCTCTAGGGGCCGGCCCGGTGGCACAATGGAGAGTGCACCACTTGGGAGTGCGGCGGTGCTCCCGCTGAGGGTTCGGATCCCATGTGGAGACCGGTTCCCACTCACTGGCTGAGCGCAGTGCGGGTGCAACACCGAGGGTTGCAATCCCGTTGCCGGTCAGTAAAAAAGACAAAAAGGAATAATAAAAAAAAAAGAGTACATCTCTAGGCAATGCTGGTCAAACTCTTCTTCCCTTTGGCTGTTCTTTTCTCCCTCTCTGAGAGGCCATAGGCTGGAAGGCAGCAGACAGGAGTTCTAATCCATGGCTTGCCAGTTGTATGACCTTGGGGAAGTCATTTCAGCTCTCTTGGACTCCCTTTCTCCATATTAAAATGTAAGGATTCTATATATTTTACTTTTATTATCAGATAAAAAATGAATATTAAAAGAATAAGATAACATTTTAGGAATCAGACTAACAGAGGATTCCTAAAGCCTCTTCCAGTTCCACGGTTCTGATTCTAAATAAAATCTGTCCTTATGAATCTGTTTCACAGTCTAGCTACAGCCCTGTCTGGATATCCACACTCTGTTTCTGACAGGCTCAGTCTGTGTGTACACAGCATCCGTGTGATGCCTGCACTTCTGCAGCTCAGCCAGGGAGACAAAAGGGAAGAGAGCTTGAGCTCTCAGTGATGTAAATCTCCCCAGGTCTCTCCAAGCTTTAGAGGAGCCCCTAGAAGG